CTGGTTGAGGCAGGTGGGTAATTCACATTGATCCTCTCTGGCATTATTAGAAGATCCCCATTGGGGTCAGGGTCATAGTAACAAAAGAGCAGAACAAATTTCTGGAGTTACAGATTGACATTCACTTCTTGGCACACTACATCAGGGCCATAGGTAGCCATTCCTACACACCATTTCTACCACAATTTTATCTTTACACAAAAGTAAAGACAGATACCAGCTCAGCCAATGTGGGCTCCATTGTCAGTGGATAAAGTGGATCTACACAGCCTGGAAAGATAGTTAGGAAGTGGAGGGTGAGAGACAGGAGGCCATGCAGGGAAAGTTGTTTTTGGGAAGCCTGATGACTGGACATCAGCAGGTTTGACTCAGACCTGTGATGCAGCAGAAGCAGGATGGGTATTGGAAAGTTGGTAGAAAGGTGAAGCACAGCCTGACAGTCCTCAAATGTCAAGGTGAAGATTACAGATGTGGTCTGGTGCCCCGCCAGAGTCTTCATACAGGTGACATGGAATATCAATGGAATGGTTTGGTGATTGTACAGACAAATCATGAATATCATCCATAATGCCCACAAATGAAAGAATGATAACCTCATTGGGAAGGTGGCTGTAGCAGAGGAAAGAAGGGTGTAGACTTTGGACCTGAAGAAGATTTGCCAGAAATGAGTGTCAAATGGTGTAGGGGTGGGAGCAACTTATAGGATGCTAAGAGATTCAGGAAAAGGAAGGATACCATGACTTTGAGCGTCCCTGCCCATAATTTAGGACTACTTGGAACTTTTCTGGCCTAGGGAGACATCTTTCTTGTACAAGCTCTTTCACTCAAAACACCCTTGAAGTTTGATAGCAATAGGTGTACATGTCTATTACTTAGAGATAACTTTGGCCTCCACTGTTTCCCATGTTTTCACAGTGACCTTGTAGAGCAGGAAGATAGCATTTTCACAGATGGTTGAGGAAAATTAACCATGATGCTGAGAAAGACTGTGGAAAATGTGTTTGTCCAGCACAGGATTTATGTGGCCAGAGCTTCCAGGATGTGATTCCACAGGAACAATAACCACAGGGCATTCTCAGTTATCCCACAATGCGTAGACCATCTGTGCATTATCCACGTGCCCCATGTTCTCCAACCTATCTGAGTCACTTCCCTGAGCCAGGACAGAAGGGAAACCACAAATCAAAGCTTGCTACTGGTGGTTAGCAACTCTGGTTTAGAAACACAAACTGGATAGGAAGGGTAATGACGAAAATAAGGTCCAAAGATTGCCCTCCAATTATTTGTGCTTTGCACAAAATCACATGAGTGCTAATAACCAAGAAAGGGATAATAATAACAATATGGAATTCAGCTGTGAGCTAAGAATCCTCACCCTTTATGAAATTGTCCTAGCTGTTACAGGGAATTTCTGATGTCTGTTAAGAAATACATTATAGTAGCATAATAGTCATTCTGAAGTTTAACTCCACCCCCACATTCCTAGATGATAAGGGGTTAATTTCAGCTCTTAAGTTAAAGTCCACTTTTGCGAGAAAGATTTCTCTGCAACCCCAGGTTGAGTTCTACATTCTTGGAACCTTTTTTTTTTTTTTAACTTTTCATAAGAAGCACTATTTTTGTTTGTAATATCTAATGGTGTGTTTAGTACTATGATGATGCAGTGAATATCTTTCTTTGCTACTAGACTAAAAGTTCCACAAGGTCAGGATGGCTTCTAGCTCTTCTTTCCCTGACCTAGGTCAGAGCATGGTTGAACCACAGGTGCGTAATAGATGTGACTCTAAAGTGCATAATAGATGTGTCCCAAGAGGGACAAACTGTCTCAGCAACAGAACTCTTGCTTGTTAGTGTTAAATATTCAAAGGGATGTGTCCTTCATCTTTGCAGGTAACTCCATGTCCAATGCTGGTGAGGGATTCTTGAATTAACAATGTCTATAAAGAAGAGGAACCTGGATGCGGTGGCTCACACCTGTAATCCTAACTACTTGGGAGGCTGAGATCAGGAGGATTGCAGTCTGAGGCTAACCAGGGCAAATGATTTGCAAGACTCCATCTCAACTAATAACTGGGTGCAGTGGCATGTGTCTGTCATTCCAAGTTACACAAGAGGGTGAGATCAGGAGGAATGCAGTTCCAGGGAAGTTGGAGCAAAAAAGTTTTGAGACCCCATCTCAATGGAAAATTGCTGGGTGAGGTGGTGCATCCCAGCTATGATGAGAAGTATAAAACAGGAGGATCACAGATCACAGTCCAGGCCGGACTGGGCAAAAAGTGAGACACTATCTCCAAAATTACTAGAGCTACTAGAGGTGTAGCTCAAGTGGTAGAGTACTTGCTATGTAAGAGTAAGCAGAGAGAGAGAGAGAGAGAGAGAGAGAGAGAGAGAGAGGAGAATAAAGTAATGATATTATTTACGTGGAACATCTGACTTAATTTAAACTCTGCCAAAAAATATAGATAAGAACAAGATAAATAGTGCAAGCTTCTTTGTGAACATTTTCCCCAGGGTGATTTGACCCAGGGGATATCAAATAGCAGACTCTTCATGGTTTCAGGCAGACCTTTCACCTCTTCCCTGGTTTATTCATTCATATCACATAACCTAGAAATAACCAGTTCACCTGCTGTTCCATGGAAAATTAAAATGAAAGCAAACATGTTTTTCCCAGAACTGCAGGAAAAACTGGGAATGATGGGCTTCATGATAACCTATTGAGCCCAACAGGACCCCTTCCTAGGGAACTTTCAAGGGCAATTTTGACTACATTCAATTTTCTTCTGCTTTGACTTCAAAATCTAACTACTATGTAAGATACAACTCCATGGTGCTCCCTCAGCATCATAAGGTGGTAATTATGGGCTAGCCAATATTTAAGCTAATTTAGGCAAAATGCTTTGGGTTAAGGCGGGGTTTGAGATCAGCCCTTACACATAGACAGCTAGGCCTAAATTGCAATCCAGGAACCTAGAGGTTTCAGCTCCTAGTCTATAGGAGACCTGAGGATGACCCTCCTCCCATCTGCCTCATGTCAATAGAAGCTAAACAGATTTTATTAAAAACTGGGTAAATCAATAGAGAGTTCACACTACTTATGTCGATGTAGCTTAACTATTAAGACAGAGAGTTGGACTAGTACAACTTAACTCTTTCTTCCAAAATTTCCTTGTCCAGAAAGTTAAGGCTATAAACCAATAAATATCCTTACTGTTTGCTGCAAGAAATTTCTACAAAGCAATTTTCCTTCCCAACAATCTGCTCATCTGGGGAAACAGTTCACTTATCAATGATTTACTCGCCAAGACTCACTTCAAGAACCTCTTCTTGCTGTATCCACCAATCCTGAACTATGATGTCATGAACTTCCTAAAACCCAATCAGTTCTCCACCTTGAAAGGCTTAAAGGACCGAGGCCCACAGTCCAAATTCATAAATTTATGCCTCCCAACTGTCCCTTACTTAGACACTAGGAAGACTGTCCTGATGGTCTCCCTCATTTCAGTAACAAACTCAGCTTTGCTTTATCAACAGATTGTGATTTCCTGGAAACAGGGATACATAAATAAGGCTAAATATATCCTTATAACTATAAGAGCTGAGGTAATTATTCTACATAATCACTTTTTTAGTCATAAAGTAATAAATTTTCCTCAGTGTTCTGCCTCTGGCAATAAGACTCAGTGTTTGGAACACCTGCCTATAGGAGATTTTAAGTGTACATTTTACCTCCATTTTATTTTTATTTTTTTTTCAGTTTTTATTATTATTTTTTTTTTTATTCACATGTGCATACATTATTTGGGTCATTTCTCCCCCCCTGCTCCCCTCCCCCACCCTCTTCCCCCTCCCCCCCGCCCCCACCCTCTTCCCCCTGCCCCCCTCAGTTCCAGGCAGGTTGTGTTCTGCCTTTATCACTAGTTTTGTTGAAGAAAAGAGACAAGCCTAATAAGGAAGACAAAGTGTTTTTGCTAGTTGAGTTGAGGATAGCTATACAGAAATATTCCTAGCATTGCTTTCATGTACACGTGTTATGACCCATGTTGATTCATCTCTAACTGATCTTTACCCTGGTTTCTGATCCTCTTCTCATGATAACCTCTGTTGCTTTAAGGTTTCTGTATTAGCTCCTCTGCAGTGGGGACATCAAACGCTTTCATGTTTTGGGTTTTCTACCTATTTCTATATCCCCAAATATTTTAAAACCAGTTTTGGACATGGTTTTGTATATTCTACAATAAGTATGCATTAATTTTAGGCTAAGTAAAAGGAAACAAATCAAAAAAGCCACCACAAGGGAACTAACTCTCAAGTGTAAATCAGAAATGACACCAAGTTTCACACACACACACACACACACACACACACACACACACACACTCACACTCACACACAGAGTCTATATAAAATACCCATTTAAAATCTTATCTCGTTATGCTAGCAAGGTAACTCAATCTCATCATCAATATCAATATGATACCCATACAGTTGAAATAATGCTGCCTTGTTTTCCTTTTGCCTTATCACAAGAAGCCTTTGGAGTGTTTAAAAAAATGCACCAGCAAATAACATTTTATCAGTCTAAAGTGAGGCCCAGGAATTGTTGGCATTTTTTCTCTCCTTTAAGCACTTAAGCACTTCGTACAGAAAGCAAAATAAAAGGCAGAGCTTCCAGGTCTCCACACCAGTGTGGAAAGCAAAGTCCAGCTTTCATTATAATATCACCCAATCATAAAGGAAAAAGCTGAGCAGGTCACAAATCAAGAGCCCCTCCATGTCTTAGGGTGGCATCTCTGTGCCCAAGCTCTGTGCCTCTATGGAAGCACTGAATGACAAACCCCAACCTGCTGTAAAATGTGCTAACAACCGCACTGGGCTCAGGCAAGCACCCAGGCAAGCCTCAGAAAGCAGGCTTCCCTCTGCGGCTGTGGAATGCTGCAAGCTCCCCAGGTAAAGGGGGCAACCTGAGAGGGCAGATCCCAACCCAGTCTTCCTTTTACCTTAAAGAAGCTTCCTCGCTTGTCCAGACCGCGGGCGCCCATGGTCCGAGCTGACATTTCCCCTGGTCAGGCTCTACTGCATGCCTGGGACTCCTGAAGGTAGAGACATTTTTAATGGTTAGTCCAGCCTGTAGGAAATTCCTTTCAAAGCCACGGAACACTCACAACAACAGTCTGCCAAAATCTTTCTCCGTCAACAACACAGTGCCATTTATTTCCTACTAAAGCCCTTACATCTCCTTTCAGCCTGATTTCCTGCCGTGGCCGACACTGTTCCTAGATTGTGCCCCACCTCGCTGCCCCACCCCCTCCTCCAGCAGCTGACGTACAAGGTCCTTAGGACTGTGGGGAGCATAATGATTGCTTTGTGTGTTTCTTGACCTCAAGTCGAAGTCCAAGAGGGACCAATATTAGATGTCCCCATAATCTGCTCCAAAAGCTTATAGATTTAACGTGGCTGATCACAAAGGGACAGAGGAAGAATGAGGTTCTGTATGTCTCAGGAAATCCCACTGGAAAGGGGGGTGAGGTCCTCTTTAGCTCTCCCCAGGCGAGGTCAGCAGAAGGGCACTAGGAAGAAATGTTTTCTCCTCAGAAATCAGCAAGATTGGGATGCAATCTTATGCCACTGTTTACAGAGATCAGTTTGTGTAAGGGGACAGTATGTAAACAGTCCCATGATCTTCCAAGAGGTGGGGATAGGGGTTCACTTTGGAAAGAAGAGCAAAATTTAAAGGCAAGATAATCACATAGTCCTGAATCATCACCGTGGTTCTTTGAGCTTGGAATTTCCCCTCCCAGGGAACACTGCATAGAGACCAATAAACCACCCCTCCCACCCCCCTGCCCCCCACCCCTACCATCCCCCCTATCCCTGGCTCTGGACTTCAAAGCCTTGGCCTTCACTTCTAAGTTAAAAGCACACATACCTGGAAGAGCTGACCTGCCTAGACCAATATATGCACTGAGAAGGCTGGGGGAGTCCCCCACCCCTTCTTTGCCCAGAGAAACTGTCCTAGGACCAAATAGAAAACTGTCCCCTCCTTCCCCCCACATTGCTTCTTGCCAAGACATGCACAGGATGTAGTTCATCCCAACCATGACCAACACAGTGAAATAACAATAAGGGACTAGGAAGTAAAAACAACGTATCTTCCATCATTAAGGATTATTAAAAGTGGTTCACTGTAGGCAGGGTGTGTGTGTGTGTGTGTGAGACACGGATGGAGGAGGCACCAAAGCCAAGGCAGCCTTTCATTATGACCTTGATGACAGAGAGCCAGCAGTACAAAAGGGACTTCAAGGGTGGCATTAGAGAGGAACACATCCACTTCAGAGAAGTGCATGCATATGAGTGATCAAGGACCTTGGTAGAGAGACTGGTTTGGTCTCACGTGTTGCTGCTCAGCTTCAGCTGTGCCAACCTGTGCGGGGATCCTCACCTAGGAAAAGAATAAGAACACAGCCCTCCTTCCAGAACCTTCACCTATTTGAGGCATTGCTCCATGGCTCGGCCACTTAAAAGGTCAGCAGCGTCTTTCCTGCATTTCTTTCCACTTGCGATACTGCTGGGGTGAAGGCCAATGTCCCAAAATCCTCCTGAGAAGGCGGTGAGCTTCCCACGGCAATCCTGCTGACTCCAGAGGTTCAGGCTCTCAGGCTCAGCATCTGAATGGAGCCCAAGCTCCAATGCCTTTGAAGTCCATCCCTTATTAGCAAAGTCTGCAGGTTGGAGCCACTCCAGAAAGAAAACAGCGCTGTGTTCAGAACCAAGCATGAGATGGGAGTCTTGGGGAGCAAACGATTAACTATTTAGATCCAAAAGCACCAAAATTTTTAAAAAGCGTACACTACTTTAAACCAAGCCTAATGCCTGTCATTCTTTTTCTTCCAGATGTTTTCCCAGCAGGAGATTTAAAGTAGCCTGGCAGTTCAGGAATTGCTAAACGAGAGCCAAGACTTCCCGCCTCATCCAGACCTAAGTTTCTTTGTTCCGTTTGGAGGTTTTCCATATACAAACCCTCACTGACGATCCAAGACAGGCAGGGAATTTTGCCTGCAGCAATGGAGCAGAAATTTTTCAGGTCCCTGAAGTTTGTCACTTTAATTAGCTGCTGATGAATGCATACACACACACTTCAACCTCAAGCCGTCCTCAATTTAAAATCCACTTTGGATTCTGCACCAGATCCGTCATTTCTTTAAACCATGCAGGTGGTGTCTCTCCTTACTCATAAGGCTGTTCCAAGATGGAGATGGGCACAAGTGACAGAACATATTGACAGGTGCCAAGCGGTCACAGCCCACAGACCGGATGCTGAACCAGTCCACAGTCCAAGCAGATGGTGTGTACATCATCACCATCATTATTTAAAAAAACAAACAAACAAAAAAAAAACCTAAAGGTCTCAAAACCAGAAGAGGTTTGGGTTTAAAGTCTTTCCTGTAGTTGCAACAGTTTCCTTCCCAAGCTATAACCTTTGACACCCTGGCTCAATATTGACAGCATCTAAGTTAACATGATTATGCTTCCTTTCCACGTGGGGTTCCCCATCCTTCTCAGATACCACCCAGCAGATTATAAAATTCCTCCAGATTTAGACCCGTGAAAATTTTCCTGTTTCCCTGAAGAGTAAACAAGCCCAGTGTGTCCAGGTCCTGTGATCTTTTCAGATGCTAGCTAATAGCCAGCAAAAAAAAGAAAAAGCATCCCCAGTGGTCTAAGGACAGGGCAAACAGTTCAGAGCTGCCAGGCTTCCCATCACATCACCAAAAGAATGTAAAAGAAGCTACAGTGGGGACCAAAGGACAAAGGCAGGAAGTGACTACTCCTCACTCTCCCAGAAACACCAGGCTCTGTCCCTTTACGGTCAGCTTAGCTGTGGCTTTCTAGGTGGCTCCAAGAGTGAATACTGAGGCAAAGGAAGATCTGTCCTTAAAAGTGAAAATAACTCCCGAGTACTCTGGCTGGTCTCCTCCTGTGTTGGCAGCAGGCTGTCCAACTCATTCTGCTCAGAGCCACCAAGGCTACCCCTACTGGACATGGCTGCAGACAGGTCTTTGATGAGTCAAATGCAGAGTTCTCAATTTCTCGTTTGCTGATTAACAGGGCTAGACTGAGTCCAGCATTCCTGCAGCCTGTGCTACCTGGCTAGGGGCCAGATTGGGGTTCTGAAATATATTGTCATGAATAGTTTAACAACAGGGATATGTTCTATGTGGAAGTCACAGATTATACTTTAACTAAGATGACTAGGATGTCACTGTCACTAGGTGACACAATTTTATGAGACCACAGTCCTATATGTGGTCTGTTGCTAGTAGAAGGATCATTATGAGGTACATAACTATTGAGAGATGGGTTTTTCCAATCCCCTCCTCCCCCTTCCTCTTCATTTAGTCAAATTGTACCCTTCCTATGTTGGGGGGTATTTTTAATTGACAAGTTAGAATTGTATAGATTTATGGTATACACCAAAACGTTTTGAACGATGTATCCATTATGCAAAGACTTAAATCAAGCTCACTGACATATCTGTCACCTCACATACTTAGCATTTATTTCTGTTGAAAACACTTAAAATCCATTATTATTAATTATGGTTACCATGTTATATCCATGATTTTTTTGGATTTATTACTCCTATCTAAATGGAATTTTATATCTTTTGGCCAGCATCACCCCAATCCTTCCCCCCTTCCTATTTTATTTGCTTTAGGTCACAAGCGTAAACCCACAAAAGACTAACAGGACCAATTATATTGAAATCCATCACTCACAAGTCTGATTGAAAGAGACACTTTGCTTATGCGGTCCTGGGTTCTCACTTCCAAGCCACTGTGAAAGTTGGTCAAAAAAAAAAATTTTTTTTTTTTCATTTTTCTTTTATTATTCATATGTGCATACAAGGCTTGGTTTATTTCTCCCCCTGCCCCACCCCTCCCTTACCACCCACTCCACCCCTCCCGCTCCCCCCCTCAATACCCAGCAGAAACTATTTTGCCCTTATCTCTAATTTTGTTGTAGAGAGAGTATAAGCAATAATAGGAAGGAACAAGGGGAAAAAAAAAAAATTCTAATCACTACTTTTTCCTTCTAGCAGTTGAGGGAGGAGAGGAAATGTGGACTTTAGTCTTTGTAAACAAGATCTCATTATTCTAATTATTTTACAGCCAAATTGACAGAAGTAGGAGAAAATGACTCACCCAGGAGACCCATCAGGTCAAGTCCAAACCCTTTGCCTCGTTCTCTAAACAGCTTCCACTGGGGCAGGTCTTCTTTCATTTTAATGTTTTTCGTCTTTTCTAACAGAAGTCAAAGCAATTGGAGTGGTCTATGTCTGGGTGCAGAGAAGATCTCTGAATATTTCCATAATTATCTTTCTAATATGATGGATTTTATAAGTTGGACAGAAAAATGTTATTCCAGACTCTGGCTCAATTACTCAAGCTATGTGAATTTAAAAAAAAAAGTGTCTTGTGTCTCTGTCCAGCACTGGTTTTCTGGCACTCAACTGTCAAACTATTTTTTTTTAAAGAGTTGAGAATATAAAAACTTTTCATTGAAAACAGAAACTACTTCATTGCAAAGTAAGAGCTCCAGAGCAAGGAACTCTATTTTCTGCTCCCTTACTCAATAACTATGTTTTTAAATAGAACTAGGAGCAATGCTTAGTGCCTCAATTTTCTGAAGAGTAACTCAGCGAAATTATTATTTTTTAAACCAAGGTGCTCAGGAGGTAAACCAGGATTGGACAGGAAAAGGGGCTGATTCCAGTGAGGGTCTATGCTTTCCTATCTTGGAAAAGTGATTGACAGACTCATAGAAATTCTCACTTCATTTGTGCAACAGAAGCTCTGCCAGTGCCTCCATAGCCAGTAGATATGTAGCTACCCAAGGGTAACAGGAGGGCAGCTCTGCTGGTTAGCAAGTCTTCATTTTCTTGGATAGGAAACTGCCTCTTTCACCTCCCACCCTCATATTCTCCCTTGAGTCATTCAAGAATTAACCTCTGCAAATCTTTTGTATGAGTTCATTTTGCATTATTATACCAAAGGCTGGGTAACTTTATACAGAAAAGTGGGTTATTTAG